GGTTAAGATCTAACCCAAGTGACCAGACAAAGAAGAAGGCGATATGTTGGACACAGAGAGAGAGGAGAAGCAGAGAATCACCAGACAGGAACTGAAATGTGAAGTGAATTGATTGAGGAAAACAAGACACCCAAAAGAAACCTTAAGACGAACGTTGATGAGGGAGGCCAAAGATGCTGGATTGGATTCAATTCAGGATTATGGAACAATTGACCAGGATAAGACGGAATGGACGATTAAGTTGCGAGCGTTGTGTGACGTATAAAGGTCCGGGGCGATAACGATGAAAGTATTATATCCTGCATCTGTATATCTCACATGGCAGCCAAGGTGGTGTAGCGGCTAGACGCACTCCCGCGGATTCGAAGGTCGTGGGTTCAAATTGAAACGGAGACCCAAGTCGACCCAACCTTGAAAGTTTCCTAGGTAAAGTCCTGCGAAGTAAAATCGATCGGTGTGATGTTGACCACATTAACAACCGAGGTGCCTATTAGCCTGTCTGCCCAGTATATCTAAAGGCGTAGGAAAGAGTCCTTTCTTCTTCTTCTTCTTCACTTCCTCTTTTACCGCTGTGGGTGTCGAGGGAGATATAAGGTTCTGTTTCTAGCTCTTCTGGCTGCCTCGACCATAGGCACATCGTGCTGTTGTAGAGTTTCTCTGATGTTATCCTTCCATCTTGTTCTTGGTCTACCCCGTGCTCTACGTCATTCTTCTCTTCCCATGTATGCTTTGTATGGTATGGTGTCACAAGGCATTCTCTCTAAGTGGGCAAACCATTTCACTTGCTGTCTTTGTATGTAATCCAGAATTGGTTCTGTGCCGACTTGTTCTCTTATGATCTCATTTCTGATCTTATATCTTATGGTCACTCCTACAGCCCTTCTCAGACATCTCATTTCCGTGGTTACTAATTTTCTTTTATGGTTTGTTGTGAGTGACCATGTCTGGCACTGGTAGTACAGAGTTGGAATAAATATGCTTTGAATAAGATGTCTCTTTGTGCTGACTGGGATTGTCTTATGCTGTAAGAGGGGGGCTAGCTGTCCCAATACTTGGTTTGCTTTACTGCATCTAATGTCAATTTCTTTATCCAATTTCCCATCTTCGGTAAATGTAGTTCCCAGATAAGAGTCCTTTGCTTATCTATATATCTCATCCAGTGCTGATGTTACAACATGTGATTGTTTGTTTCCTCACACCCAATGTTCTGTTGTATAATAAAAGTCCTGTTTTTGTCCTCAAGAAACGATGAGAAATATCGCCATGGCCCAGAATGCAGCGATTGTGTTGAAAGCCACAGAGTTTCCATCGAAACACGCACGGATGCACGGAACGATAGACATTTGGTGGATTGTAAATATCCTTTGTGAAAGTTTGTATAGGGAATAAATACGTTTTTGTAGGCATCTGACCTGTTTTAACGGGTAAAAAAGAAAAGCAACGCTACTTTGCTTGTCGCTTACCAGTACTGCCAGTTGCAGGAAATTTACGGCGACGGTCAAGTCACCAAGTGACGCCGCAGTGATAGTTATAGCTTTCGATTTTTTTGTTGTCTAGTGTGTTCTTCTATCTATCTACTTCTTTCTATGAGTGCCGATCAATAGACTTTCTGTTACTTGAATAATTAGCTAAAAAAGAGCGAACGCACAACCCAAGAAACACACATAGTGCCAGTCGCCGACGACGTGGACAATGGCCGCTCACAACGCGAAACATAGAATGCTTATAGCGTTGAAAATAACAAGAGGTGTAACCCCTACAACATGCCACAGTCTGTGGGTAATCTCGCACCCCACGAGATGCGGGCATCTTCGTGATATGTACCGATAATTATTGTTTAGTAAAACCTGGTTAATACGAACTGGCCTAACATGAACAATATGTTAAGACGAACAAAATGTTGTTCCCAGCAGGGATGTATTTTTGTTATGAATCCCTAGTTAGCACAAATTATTGTAACACGAACTCGAATTTCTGCCCCTTGCAGTTCGTGTTAACCAGGTTTTACTATAGTATCTGCTATGTAGTATTGCACAGGAGCCGTCGTGGTGTAGCGGCTAGACGATGGCCTGCGGATCCGAAGGTCATGGGTTCAAATCCGCATCGTGCCGGGTGTTTTCAAACATGACCTTGGCTCTCAGGTCGGCGCAGCTCTAAATGGGGTACCAGATAAAGTCCTGGGAAGTAAAGGCAGCCGGCATCAGTCACAGAGTGCCGATTGGTGTGTAAAATAGGTCTAGCCCTATATGTCTACTACAGCAGCCGAAAGTGTGGACAAAAGTCCTTTACTTTTTAGTTTTGGCATGACTGAGTGAGTGAGTCAATGACTGATTGGGTGAGTGAGTGGTTGAGTCAATGAATGAGTGAGTGAGTCAATGAATGAGTGAGTGAGTCAATGAATGAGTGAGTCAATGAATGAGTGAGTCAATGAATGAGTGAGTGAGTCAATGAATGAGTGAGTGAGTCAATGAATGAGTGAGTGAGTTGGTGGGTGAGTGAGTGGGTGATTAGGGAGTGAGTGGGTGGGTGAGTTAGTGAGTGAATCAATGAATCAGTGAGTGAGTGATTAAATCAATGAATCAGTGAGTGAGTGAGTAAGTGAGTGAGTGAGTGAGTGAATAAGTGAGTGAGTGAGTGGGTGAGTGAGTGAGTGCGTGACGTATAACCCCCCCCCCCCCCCCCCACCCACCCCCACCCCCACCCCCCCCCCCACCCCATCCTTGGACCGCAAAACGGGCGACTAACACCCGGGGAGACAAGGTACCACCATTCGAATGAGAAGCCCCAGAAAGCCCGTTTAACCGTTAGGGTCGCCTATTACTGTGCTTTGCTTTATTATGAATGGTGTGCCATTTAGAAAGAAAATGTATCCGGATGTTGTATTTCACAAAAGTGTTGGCATACAACTTTCCTTGACGGCGCTTACATGACGGAGGCATGCTGCTGTTGCTGGGACACTTGCTGCGAAGGAACAAGAGTTGGAGCAAGTGTTTGTTGAGGCTTTTCACTGTAGCTTGTATCCTTTTTTAACTTGTTGTCCAAGTCCCTAAAGATCACGGCTGCTGCCCGAGTAAAGGAATAGAGACCAAACAAATTAACCTGTGTTCTCTCTTTCACAGGGAGCACGTAAGCACTGCTGGTAGCAAATAGGCACTGGTTGTAGCAAATACGCACTGGTTGTAGCAAATACGCACTGGTTGTAGCAAATACGCACTGGTTGTAGCAAATACACACTGGTTGTAGCATATACGCACTGGTTGTAGCAAATACGCACTGGTTGTAGCATATACGCACTGGTTGTAGCAAATACGCACTGGTTGTAGCATATACACACTGGTTGTAGCAAATACACACTGGTTGTAGCATATACGCACTGGTTGTAGCAAATACGCACTGGTTGTAGCATATACACACTGGTTGTAGCATATTAGCACTGGTTGTAGCATATTAGTACTGGTTGTAGCATATACGCACTGGTTGTAGCAAATACGCACTGGTTGTAGCAAATACACACTGTTTGTAGCATATACGCACTGTTTGTAGCAAATACGCACTGGTTGTAGCAAATACGCACTGGTTGTAGCAAATACACACTGGTTGTAGCATATACGCACTGGTTGTAGCAAATACGCACTGGTTGTGGCATATACACACTGGTTGTAGCAAATACACACTGGTTGTAGCATATACGCACTGGTTGTAGCAAATACGCACTGGTTGTAGCATATACACACTGGTTGTAGCATATTAGCACTGGTTGTAGCATATTAGCACTGGTTGTAGCATATACGCACTGGTTGTAGCAAATACACACTGGTTGTAGCAAATACACACTGGTTGTAGCATATACGCACTGGTTGTAGCATATACGCACTGGTTGTAGCAAATATGCACTGCTTGTGGCAAATACGTACTGGTTGTAGCAAATATGCACTGCTTGTGGCAAATACGTACTGCTTGTAGTAAATACACACTGGTTGTAGCAAATACGCACTGGTTGTAGCAAATACACACTGGTTTTAGCAAATACACACTGGTTGTAGCATATACGCACTGTTTGTAGCAAATACACACTGGTTGTAGCAAATACACACTGGTTGTAGCAAATACACACTGGTTGTAGCAAATACACACTGGTTGTAGCAAATACACACTGGTTGTAGCAAATACACACTGGTTGTAGCAAATACACACTGGTTGTAGCAAATACGCACTGGTTGTAGCAAATACACACTGGTTGTAGCAAATACGCACTGGTTGTAGCAAATACACACTGGTTGTAGCAAATACACACTGGTTGTAGCAAATACACACTGGTTGTAGCAAATACACACATGTTGTAGCAAATACACACTGGTTGTAGCAAATACACACTGGTTGTAGCAAATACACACTGGTTGTAGCAAATACGCACTGGTTGTAGCAAATACACACTGGTTGTAGCAAATACACACTGGTTGTAGCAAATACACACTGGTTGTAGCATATACACACTGGTTGTAGCAAATACACACTGGTTGTAGCAAATACACACTGGTTGTACCAAATACACACTGGTTGTAGCATATACGCACTGGTTGTAGCATATACGCACTGGTTGTAGCAAATATGCACTGCTTGTGGCAAATACGTACTGGTTGTAGCAAATATGCACTGCTTGTGGCAAATACGTACTGCTTGTAGTAAATACACACTGGTTGTAGCAAATACGCACTGGTTGTAGCAAATACACACTGGTTGTAGCAAATACACACTGGTTGTAGCAAATACACACTGGTTGTAGCAAATACACACTGGTTGTATCAAATACACACTGGTTGTAGCAAATACACACTGGTTGTAGCAAATACACACTGTTTGTAGCAAATACGCACTGGTTGTAGCAAATATGCACTGGTTGTAGCAAATATGCACTGCTTGTGGCAAATACGTACTGCTTGTAGTAAATACACACTGGTTGTAGCAAATACGCACTGGTTGTAGCAAATACACACTGGTTGTAGCAAATACACACTGCTGGTAGCAAATACACACTGGTTGTAGCAAATACGCACTGGTTGTAGCAAATACACACTGGTTGTAGCAAATACACACTGCTGGTAGCAAATACACACTGGTTGTAGCAAATACGCACTGGTTGTAGCAAATACACACTGGTTGTAGCAAATACACACTGGTTGTAGCAAATACACACTGGTTGTAGCAAATACACACTGCTGGTAGCAAATAGTGCTTTCTGCATTTAGATATAGCCCTACTTGTGTGAATTCTAACGTACCGCGATCGAAACGCACTGCTGGCTGCGTGGATGGTTCTCCTTGTGTGTCTATCTGGCCGGCTAGGTCGTGTCCTCTCATTTTGAAGGTTTGGATCTGTCATCTTCTTCTGTGTCTTTGAGGCTTGAGCCCCAGTGAACTGGGGCGAGTCGTGCTCACTACATGAAGACTGGTGAACCGGCAATAAACTAGGGCGAGCATTGCTCACTAAAGAAGGCTGGTGAACAAACATCGAACTGGAGCGAGCAGTACTCACTAAAAGAAGACTGGTAAACCCACATCTAACTGGCGCCCGTATTGTTTACTACAAGAAGACTGGTAAACCAGCAATGAACTAGGGCGAGCTTTGCTCACTACAAGAAGACTGGTAAACCATCAATGAACTAGGGCGAGCCTTGCTCACTACAAGAAGGCTGGTAAACCATCAATGAACTGGGGCGAGCCTTGCTCACTACAAGAAGGCTGGTAAACCATCAATGAACTGGGGCGAGCCTTGCTCACTACAAGAAGGCTGGTAAACCATCAATGAACTAGGGCGAGCCTTGCTCACTACAAGAAGGCTGGTAAACCATCAATGAACTGGGGCGAGCCTTGCTCACTACAAGAAGGCTGGTAAACCATCAATGAACTAGGGCGAGCCTTGCTCACTACAAGAAGGCTGGTAAACCATCAATGAACTAGGGCGAGCCTTGCTCACTACAAGAAGACTGGGCAAGCAGTGCTCACTACAAGAAGGTTGGTGAACGAACATCGAACTGGAGCGAGCAGAGCTTACTACAAGAAGACTGGCGAAACAATTAACTGGGGCGAGCAATGCTCACCACAAGAAAACTGGTGAACCAACATCGAACTGTTACAAGCAACGCTCACTACAAAAAAATTGTTGAACCAGCAATGAACTGGTCGAGCCGTGCTCATCACAAGAAGACTAGTGAACGAACATTGAACTGGGGCGAGCCGTGCTCATTACAAGAAGACTAGTGAACGAACATTGAACTGGGGCGAGCCGTGCTCATTACAAGAAGACTAGTGAACGAACATCGAACAGAGCGAGCAGGGCTCACTACAAGAAGGCAACCTAACAGAAATAAACACCAGATTGTACAATGCATTGGGGAAAAAGCGCATAAACGATCCTTACATCTTCCCCCCTCCCCACCCTACCCCAACACCTAGCTGAGGTAAATGGTCAAAGATAAGAAGAAGAAGAAAAGAAGAAGAAGAGGAATAAAAAGAAGAAGAAGAAGAAAATCGTTGCTACGGAAAGTATCTTATTAAATATACATGTTGTCCTTGTAAAGATTTAACCGCCTTAAAAGTCTACGGTTAAGCACCAGCAAGGAGATAAAAATGAGAATTTTAAGAGCATGCATCTTCCTTGTGGCTACATACAGATGTGAGTCGTGGACTATCTCTCAGTCCTTAAGGAAGAGAACAGGGGCTTTTGAGCTGAAATGCTATAGAAAGATTCTCAGAATATCTTGGATAAAGAAGATTAGAAATATTGACATCTTAAAAGTTCTGAACATCAAGGAAGATTAGAAGCTGAAATATTTTGGTCATATCAAGCGCCACGGCGGATTGAAAAAAAAAATTATAGCAGAAGGCATGGTACCAGGAAGGAGAGGCAGGGGCCGACAGACACGAAGATGGGCACAGGATATAAGTGACTCCTTGAGTGTGAAAGTACATGAGCCGGGAGAATTGGCGAGAGACAGAGTTTCTTTCAGGCAGACTTTGATGAGAGCGACGTTCTGTAAAGGATCTGTTACATGATGATGATGATGTTGTCCTTATAGAAGTTTTTTAGCCCAGGCTCTTTTAGGGCATTGTGGAATTATTTGAATATTATTACACAATTAAATTTTAACGCATTCTCTTAATTATAAGGCTGAATCTGATTGGTTGTAACATAATTTCTGTGTGTGTTTTGAAAATAAGCAATTGTTGCTTAATTTTCATCTGTTACGTTGCAGCGGAGAAGGACAACACACCTCAAATCAAGGCAGATCTGCAGACGTATCTATATCAGCTGAGAATAGAGGGAGTGGTGGAAGTGGTGGAAATGGTAAGTAACGGCAAGTTGCGGCACACGCGAGGGATGCATCAGGCATGTCTTGTCCTTCTTTGCGTTCACCGGCTGTAAACTCCGGCGGAAAGGTTTGGGTGTTTGCCCACCTCCAGACTTTAGCCTTGCTCCAGAACCAGAGTATGGCGTGCAACTCCGTTTGACAGATCTGGTTTATTTGAATGCAGACTTGTGGTCCCTTGCCTTTCATGCAGATGCACTCCGACTTCGAAGGATGTTCCCAATTAGTTAACTCCTACGACATGCTTGTTGGGGAGGCAGTGGGTCTATTCTCGTTTTCTCTACAATGGGGCACCGGAACCCACACAGGGAGCATTGGGCATGGGATCATCATCTTCATTGTCCAGGTGTGCGGTTATGTGTCACACAGGGCTCACAGTCTTTTCGTGAATCCGTGCATCACCTCATATGTCCCGGGTAGTTAGCCTCCTTTGTATATTTTCTCCAGGGTTTGCCGGTGTGTTGGGAAATGAGCAGGCAGATAGACTGGGTGGTTCTGCACCACTTGGTGGTGTACTGATGTATGACAAGCTGGATGTTGTGAGGGCCCTGTGGGAGCGAGTTAACAGTGCCGAGCAACATATAGATCATTACGGTCTGAGGAGAATGACACTGTGAGGGAATCTGGCCGACGCTCGACACTCAGGGGAAAGGCGAGACGGATATACAATCAGACAGTTACAGGTACTATCGGAATTTTAACTCTTCGACCGGAGCGCTTATGGGGGTGTCCTGTGTGTCCCTTAGCTTGGCTAGTTTATGCCTGAAGCCAGCACAGCACACGGTCTGCAGTGTTGGCGCACATGCGCAGTATTTTTTGGTGCCCAGTTGAATTGAGACATCTCCCGTCTTTCCAATACCCCCCAAAAAAACTTATGCTGGCAAAGTCTGTTGTGCCCTGTCTTTAGTCTGAAGACGAGACGCTGACCCTCTCTTGAGATGAAGCGAGTCCTAGGAAGAGAAATGTGTTGTGGATATCCAGCCACCTAAATTAGATAATAGTTTGTACTGTCTCCGTCTCCTGGGGAGTCAAGTCACCATTTGAGTGCAGCATGTCTGTGTCTTCGGCGTCTGTGGCTTAGGTGTGGCGAACGCGCTTCGTAATGCCGGGGTGCCTGGTTCAATACCAGCTGCGGGCCTTGTGCTGGTTTCGACAGTGGTATCGAGAAGCTGACCGTCCAGATAGCGATGGCAAACTACTGGATGTAAATTTGCCTAGAAAAACCACAACAGCTAAAAAATGCTGGGGTTGGTTCTGCGACGTCCTGTAAATGATGTCTGAGTCGCTTCTGGTCGGTCAAGTCATCATTTGACTGCAGAAAGCCAGTGCCGCTTCTGGTCGGTCAAGTCACCATTTGACTGCTGCCAGCCAGTGCCACTTCTAGTCAGTCAAGTCACCATTTGACTGCAGCCAGCCAGTGCCACTTCTAGTCAGTCAAGTCACCATTTGACTGCAGCCAGCCAGTGCCACTTCTAGTGAGTCAAGTCACCATTTGACTGCAGCAAGCCAGTGCCACTTCTAGTCAGTCAAGTCACCATTTGACTGCAGCAAGCCAGTGCCACTTCTAGTCAGTCAAGTCACCATTTGACTGCAGCAAGCCAGTGCCACTTCTAGTCAGTCAAGTCACCATTTTACTGCAGCAAGCTAGTGCAGCTTCTGGTGAGTATTTCGGCTGTAAGCGGCAGAGACATGGCGCAGTCAAATGGCGACATAACCCACCAGGAGACCGAATATCAAAACCGGTTCCTGAATTTAAAGGAAAAAGAAATAAAAGTCCACGGACACCGCTTCGTGTCATACACAAAATAACAATTAGTGGTGAAGAAATTGGAAAGTCTGGGTCCAAGCACAGGCAAGGAAATCAAAGTCAAAATTTGTAGAGCATGCATCTTTCCTGTAGCAACATACAGGTGTGGACTATTTCACTGTCATTAAAAACAAAAATGTGGGCTTTGAGCTGAAATGTTATAACAAGATTTTTTACAATATCATTTGAGCAAGGGGAGAAAACCCTAGAAATACTGATATCCTAAAAGATCTGGCTAATAAATAGTATCTTGTCTCTGAAACTGCTGAAACATTTTGACCACGACAAGCGCTCAAACAAATTGGCAGAATGCCTGGAAAGAGGGGCAGGGGCCGACCATCACAAAGATGGGCACAAGATATGTATATATAAAAACACTGTGGGTAAGAAAGTGCACGAAGCGTGAGAGCTGGCGAGAGACCGAATTTCTTTCAGGCAGACCATGATAAGAGCAACGTCCTGCAAAGGACCTGCTACATGATGATGATGATGTGACCGTTACAAACGAAAGTTCTTTTCTTTTATTTCCTACATCTCGGCAGCCTTCGAGATTCTTAAGAAATTCCCGGCAACGTCCCATAGTATTGGGGTGTTAGGGTAATTGTTAGGAGGTGTTCCTTTCACACGGTTAGTTGCGTATCCTTTACAGGAAGTTGTAGAACCAACCCCATCAGCCCCTGGCTGTTCTGTGGTTTCACTAGGCAAATTTACCTCCAGTAGTTTGCCATTGCTACTGGATGGTCGGCTGCCTTATACCACTGTCGAAACCAACGCAAGGCGTATGGCCCGCAGCTGGGATCGAACCCGGTACCCCGGCATTACGAAGCGTTCGCATCGACTTAGCCACAGAGCCGACTCCTTTCCTTTCACACGAACGAACGAAAATAACACACTGAAAATAATGACGCAATAAACGCTGAAAACGCGTTAACACATTTACACAGAAAAAAGGATATAGTCGTTCAACGAAGGAAGTTGCTCACTTACGTGTGGAAGACAGTTTGTCGACCTAATGCACCGACTTTCTTGCACACTGTATGAATACACAACGAAGTCATGTCATAAAACCCCCCATTAAATGAACCTCTCCCGGGAACTCCCTATGAAATCTCGGAGACTTCGAGATGGGTGGAAAAAAAAAAAACACAAGAACCCAAACGAACACGGCAACACACCAACTAAATTTTTAAACAGCTTGGTTTTGTAGATAGAATATGCACATTACACGTGACCCGTATGTGTTGTGTAGAAAAGATGAAACTAGCACACTTGCACATTCTCGTTTACCATCACCAGGTCGGGGAGGATATGTCGGCTTATGTTTATGAACGAACGTTGAAAATGGAGGAGCGGACCCGGATGATCAATCAGATGCAAAGACGGGTAACGTTGTGTGCATGATTTATTGTGTAACTTACTTCCTGTCATTACTGCATGTGCTTACCACTTGTAGGAGGAGGTTCGTAGCGAAAGCCAATGGAAAATCATTAGTGCAAGACAGCCTAGCATATGACATCACAACAACTAGCATGAGAATGGAGGTGGAGGCGGTAACTGCAGCTTTCCGGTGGCTAGAGAAAAAGATGCACACACAGGTCGTAATAGTAACAGGCTCTGAAAGAATGCTGAAAAAGGTGAAGACAGCAATGCTTCGAGCAGAGTGGCAAGCTTCACTGGAAAGGTCACAGGTGGTGAACATACTTTGGATCTTTTCTCCAGGCCATGCCGGCGTGGTGGGTAATAAACAGGCAGACAGATTTGCTAGATCTGCAGCACTGGGTGGTGAATTGATACACGACAAGGCAAATGTGGTCAAGACCCTTTGGGAACAAGCAACAGAATCAGTAGAGGAAGAAAATTATTATGGCCTTGAGAGAATGAGGCACCTGGGTGTAACAAGAGGGTTTGGCTGGTTCACTACACTCAGAGGAAAGACAAGACGGACTTTTAACCAGATTGTGACCGGTACCATCAGTATTGGAACACTGCGCTGGCTGCTGAAGATGAGGACGGAGTATGCATGGGAATGCCCCGAGTGCTGTGATGTCAATTCTTGACTCAACTCAACTCAACCACTTTTAGGGGCGTATAGAACGGGGCCTGAGGAGGAAGGAGACGGGGGTTAGTAAGCCTTAGGATCAAAGGCCGCATGGGTAATGCAGTCGATACGGAGTGTGCGTCTTCTTCTTCTTCTTCTTCTTCTTCTTCTTCTTCTTCTTCTTCTTCTTCTTCTTCTTCTTCTTCTTCTTCTTCTTCTTCTTCTTCTTCTTCTTCTTCTTTTCTTCTTCTTTTTCTGCTGCTTCTGCTTCCGCTTTTTATTGTTTCTTCTTCTAGCCTTACACGGCTCATGTTTTGCCACATGATAACTATGTTATTGTGTAATCTAATGATGTAATTCACAGTGTAAACAATCTTATTGTGTAACCTAACCAGGTAATTCATCCAATACAAAAACCAAATGCTGTTGTTGTTATGTACTATAACCAAGTCGTCCCCACGTGGGACGCAATTTTTCTTCATTTTTAAGCCCCCTGCTGACTTTTGCCGTGGGCCCTAAAAAAGCCTGACGGTTGAACGCGGTTTCTGGGACCTCTCCACGGGTGAACCACATCCGCATGGTGACACTTTGTGTCACCGGGTGTTTGTCGCTCTGTGGGATGTCCTGGTGGGGTAAAATAAACTTACTTACTTGTAATGTAACCCAACGCTATACTTAATAGAATAAATGTGTTGTTATGAAATATAAGGCAATCATTGTTACATAAGTAATGTATGTTATAAAAAAAACCAAGCTGGTATTTCATATTCTCTCGTTTTTCTTTAATTCTGATCGCAGGTTAGCTCCACTGCCTCAAGAAAAATTCTGGTAAGCCATATTTAAATTGTTGTAGTCACGTGATTTAAATGGTCACACTTTTGGTTTTCATCGTAGGGGAGTGCTTATTTTCTCAAATTTTCATTGAGACGGCTTCTCCATGACATAATAATAATAGTAATAATAATAGTAATAATAATAATAATAATAAATACTGACCTGAGCTCACAGTTGAGTTTAGTCTTTCATCACTACCAGGAAGAGTTTTGGGAAGTTAAGGCAGGCGACGGGATATAGACCATACAACTCATCGAGTATCAGTTGATCTACACAAATATAGGTTTTTATATTTTTTTGGGGCGTGGGCTTTACTCTTGTTTTTCTAAATTGATTTTAGGATACAGAGGGGGTAAACCATACGTGATGGGTCAACTGGACCAGGGCTGACACTGGTCAACTTCTGCCTACACCTCTAGACGCAGGTTTTCAATCTAGACAGCTGGTTAGACTCGGGGATCGGGTAGACACCGGTGACTGATGTAGACAGCGGGGATTTGACGTAGACAATTTGACTGATCTAGACAGCTGGGAATTTGACCGATGAAGACAGTCGGGGATCTGACTGATGTAGACAGCCGGGGATCTGACTGATGTAGACAGCCGGTGACTGATGTAGACAGCCGGGGATTTGACTGATGTAGACAGCCGGTGACTGATGTAGACAGCCGGGAATCTGACTGATGTAGACAGCCGGTGACTGATGTAGACAGCCGTGAATGTGACGGATGTAGACAGCCGGGAATCTGACTGATGTAGACGGCCGGGAATCTGACTGATGTAGACAGGATCGACGTTTCCTTCGATGTCGGAGTGCATCTGCCTGAGAGGTGAGGTATCAGTAGTCTGCACGCAAAACATGTCAGATATGTAAAACTGATGTGCACGCGCAGTACTCAGGTCCTAGATCAAAACTAAAGTCCAGAAAGAGACTAACAACCAAGGCTTTTCGCCAGGAGTTTTCAGTCGGTGAACGCCAAAAAGATATGTAAACCGTTGAAGCCTTTGACGATTTCGTTGTAGAAACGCGTTGAAAATAACATCAATGAAGGGCTTCCGTTAAGCATTTGCTGATCATTGTGTTACAGTGCAGAGCAAGATTTCTTTTCAGTATGACCAGACCAAATTCGAATCATATATTGCATTACTGAGATAAGAAATGGAACAGAACAGGCTAAAAACTGCATTTTATAAAACGAAGAACATCTTATGCAATATATCTCTTTTAATGATGGTTAGAAAAAGAATTCTTTCTTGTTACATACATCCAGTTTTAACATATGGCTGTAACTGGATAATCAGTAGGCAGATTAAACAATTATTTTAGGCCTCAGAGATGTGGTTTTACAGAAGAATGCTTAGAATACCTTGGACAGCCAAAAAGAGCAACCAAGAGGTTTTAAAAGAAGCGGGAGCCCGACGCCAACTTATCACAGACATCAGAAGGAGTCAGTCATCATTTTCCAGCCATGTTATGAGAAGATGGAAAATGGAACATGTTATGACCACTGGAAAGATCTGTAAGAAGAAGGATGGAGGAAGACAACGAGAGAAGATCCTTGAGTCGTGTTGCATGGCATGGAGGTGTGTCAGCACATGAACTGATAAATACTACAGGATATCGCAGATTGTGGAGAGGCATGATCGCCCACGCCAGACTGCAAGGCACCTGATGATGGTGATGGTGACAGTACTTTGCTTGCTAGAGACTGGTAATAATAATTTTTACATAGCGCATTGTTTGATACATAAACTGTTGCTTTGTTTTCATTTAGAAGTAAAATAAAGTTAGAATCAAGATTCGAAAGGATTGCTTTCATTGCACCGGATTATCCCATACATCTTCATCTCTCTCCGTAGAACGGCTAGAGTCCTGTCGCCAGCGTCGCATAAAGCACGACCTTTGTAGCTCCACCGACGATTCTGTGCGATGTCTGTAAAATATGCACTTGTAAACTGAACAACGCGTCCATGAAAGGAAACCACGACCTTAAGAGCGCGAGGGAAGCGGCTTGACCATTTCGCCAGGAAGGACGAAAGTTAAGGACCTTTTAAAGGATCCGCAAGGATGATCGGTAGATTACACATCGCCATGGATCGTGTTACACACTACACCAATAACCAGGGATCGCGTTACACACTACACCAATAACCAGGGATCGTGTTACACACTACACCAATAACCAGGGATCGTGTTACACACTACACCAATAACCAGGGATCGCGTTACACACTACACCAATAACCAGGGATCGCGTTACACACTACACCGAAAACCAGGGGTCGTGTTACACACTACACCGATAACCAGGGGTCGTGTTACACACTACATCCATAACCAGGGGTCGTGTTACACACTTCACCCATAACCAGGGGTCGTGTTACACACTACACCAATAACCAGGGCTCGTGTTACACACTACATCGATAACCAGGGGTCGTGTTACACACTACAACAATAATCAGGGGTCATGTTACACATTACACCGATAACTAGGGGTCGTATTACATACTATACTTATAACCAGGAGTCATGTTACACACTATAACCAGGGGTCATATTACACACTACACAAATAAACTGGTGTCGTGCTACACACTGGGCCTATAAACAGCGGTGACGTTACAGACTGCACCTATAAACAGGGGGTCGTGTTACACACCACACCGATAAACAGGGGGTCGTGTTACACACCACATCAATAACCAGGGGTTTTGTTACACACAGCACCTGTTAACAGGAATCGTGGTACACACTATACCTATAACAAAGGGTTCATGTTACACTTTGCACATATAAACATGGCTAATGTTACACACTGCAGCTTTAAACAGGCATAATGTTACACATTGCACCTAAAAACAGGGGTAATGTTACACACTGCAGCTATAAAAGGGGTTCATAAAACACACTACATCAATAAACGGGGGTCGTGTTACACACTACACACATAACCAGGGGTCATGCTACACACTAGTCCCCAGACCAGGGGTCGACCCAGAGCTATATGAAACCCACCAACTTCATGTGGTCTAATGAGTCATGTCCTCCCACGCTGACAGGACAGAGAGGTACAGCACGTGTTAGACAACGCCCGAAGCATTCCCGATTTGCGAAACTACAAAAGTATGGACGGGTCTTCCCCCATTGATGACCAGAACCCAGGTCAACCCACGTAAGTGTACACAGGCCTGTTTATTGTCACCTCTAGTTAGTTGGCGAAAGAAATGGCAAACTACTGGACGTAAATTTGCCTAGAGAAACCACACAACAGCCAGGGGCTGTTGGGGTTGGTTCTGCAACGTCCTGTAAAGGATACGCAACTAACCTAGTTAGCTGACAGAATTGCTTGTTGTTCAGTGGGCTATTCTTCAACCCATGGGCCGTTAAAAGGTCCAGATGGGCCGCCGACAATTTATTTCAATGTTGAATTGAGAATCGACGTCACATCACTCGGGACACTTCCACAAGTGCTCCTTCCCCATCTTCAGTAGTCACCGAAGAGTTCTAATTCCGATGGTACCAGTAACTGTCTGATGGTATATCCTTCTTGCCTTTTCCTTGAGTGTTGAGCGTCGGCCAGATCCCTTGGTAACTCCCCGCAGCGATATTCTCCTCAAACCGTAATGATCTGTCTGTGCCTCCGCACTGTTCACTCGCTCTCAAGGGGCCCTCACAATATCTAGCTTGTCATACATCAGTGCGCCACCTAGTGGTGCAGAACCGGCCAGTCTATCTGTCTGCTCGTTTCCTAACACACTGGTATGACCTGAAGGAAATATTCAGAGAACGCGACAGTTTCTGTTTAATCACGAAAGAGGGTAGGGTAAGTAGATTTTCCTTTTTCCGCGATTGCTGCCTGCAGGATTTAATACTTTAATACCTCAAGGATGAGAAGCACACCGGTGCAAATCCCTCTAGCCCCGTTCAACTGCGTGAAACAGTTATACTATGTCACTGCGTAGTTACGTCCCCTAAAGTCCGGTCTGGGGCTGGGAATAAGGGCAAGGTAGGTAGGTAAGTGTCGGCTCTGTGGCTAAGTCGATGCGAACGCTTCGTAATGCCGCAATGCCGGGTTCAATCCAAGCTGCAGGCCATGCGCCTTGCGTTGGTTTCGACAGTGGTATCAAGAAAGCCGACCGTCCAGAAAGCAATGGCAAACTATTGGACGTAAATTTGCCTAGAAAAAACCACACAACAGCCAGGGGCTGTTGGGGTTGGTTCTGCAACATCCTGTAAAGGATACGCAACAAACCAAGATAGGTAAGCTGTTCCCCACCAGGACATCATCCTCATCATCATCATCATCTCGTAACACTACGTGTCGTTGGATCATCAGTTTTTATTGACTGTCTAATCAGCTCTCTCTCCACCATTGGCGGTCAGTTGCGATGGACTTCATAGTTGCATGCCTGAGGCCTGTCCAGTCAGTCAGGTTCTGTGACCAGGTCTTTCTTGGTCTGCCTCTTCTCCTCTTTGCCTCTACTGAGCCTTGCAGTATTGTTTTTGAGAGGCCGTTAGATCTTATTACATGTCCATACCATTGCATTTTTTGTTTTATTCACTGTAGTTAAAAGAGGTTCATAGTTGCCAGTGTGCTGTATAAATGTATGGCGAACCTCTTCGTTTGTAATGTGGTCTCTGTATGATATGCCAAGAATTTTTCGGAAACATCGCATTTCTAATGCTTGTATCTTTCTTTCAAGTTCAGCTGTTAAGGTCCATGTTTCACAGCCATAGGTAAATTTACTAATAGCTAATGCTCCGAGCAATCGAATCTTAGTTTTGCATGAAATATTTTTAGATCTCTATGATGTTTGCTGCTTGGCAACAAGTGATGTCTACCAGGACATCACACAAGTGATAAACACCTGGTGACACAAAGTGCCACCATGTGGATGAATATCACCCGTGGAGAGGTCTCGGAAACCCCGTTCAGTCGTTAGGCCATATTTATTTATGGTTCTTGAACAAGAATCGCATAGCAAAAGTGGCTTTTAGTACGAACGATTTTTAACAATAAGAAGATTTCAACTGCACTGCTAAAGTGTTGTGTAGAAAGAACCTGTTCTGTTTTATACATGAGAAAACCGACAATGAGCAAACAAGCAGAAAAACATTTACTTGCGGCAGAAATGTAGTTTCTAAGAAGAATGCAAAGAAAATTTTGAATGAATGAATGAATGAATTTCTACCCCACCAGGACATCACACAAGCGATAAACACCCGATGCCACAAAGTGCCACCATGTGGATGAAGATCACCGTGGAGAGGTCCCAGAAACCGCGTTCAGACAATTGGCCATATTTATGGCCTGCCTATATTGCGGCCCCTGGCAAAAGCCAGAGTGGGGCTTCAAATAACAAAAAAATTACGTCCTAAAAAGGGCGTAAGGATATAAAATTTTGAAAGGATGGACAAACAAACGAAGCAGTCCTCATTAGATGAAAGTCGTGAACTGATAATTTGCATCTTGCATCAAATACTATGACAGATCCAAGATAATTATTTTAATTAACTTGCTTGGGAATTTTGCCATTTGCAAAGGGGGGGGGGGGCGCATGGAGGGGGTAAATAAACTTGAGAACTAAATGAATTGAAAAGACTTTTATAGTGTTGATGTATCTGGCTATTTAGCTAGGAGACTGTTTACAGACAGTTACCTGCCCTTGTTGTTTGTTGCCAACAGACACGAAGATATCCGCCACATGAGCACCGCAGTCAGGCTCAACTCCAAGATGAGGGATATCTCCGGCAAGGCGGCGCTGGTTATCATCAACCTGCCCTGTGTGCCTGAGTCGACCAGAGGCCGAGCAAACTGTATCCTTGACCTGCCCGCATATGTTATACCAGTTCATGTTGAGAAAGGCTCCGGCCGAAACGTCGAGCTGTCTGTTTTGTGCACGTTGTTTCCTTTCTTCTCCTTTTCGTTAAGTTTTTTAAGTCAGAGTTTATTGGATTAACTGCTTGGTATTAGCTTGACTGGAGTCACCTTTGTTTGCAGCAGATATAAACAGGTCTGACTAGTCACTCGGGCGAGCCGCCGTGGTCTAGCGGCTATACGCTCGCCTGCGGATCACAGGTCGTGGGTTTAAATCCGCGTTCCCCGTGTGTGTGGCCCTATTGTAGGGAAAACAAGAATAGACCCACTGCCTTCCCGAAAAGCATGTCGTAGGAGCCGACTAATTGGGGACTTCCTTGGAAGTCTGCCTCTCTGGCAGATGCACTCTGACTTCGGGGAAATCTTCCAATCAGTCGACTCTTACGACATGCTTTTGGGTATGCAAGGAATTCCAGAGAAATTTAACTAAAAAGCTCAACAAATTAGGGAAGCAGAGAAACGTGTACAAAACAACACAAATAACGTAACGTTTCGGCCAGGCAGCCTTTGTCAAACTATACAAAAATAACTACAATTTCTCTGGAATTCCTTGTATTAGCTTGACTGCAGTCACCCCCATATTTTCACCATTTTGGGTATGCAGTGGATCTATTCTTGTTTCCCCTATTAAAGGTCTCTGGAACCCACACAGGGAAATGAGACAATGGCTGTGAATATGTTTAGACTAGGCTTTCCCTCTGGCGTTACGCAAAGTACGCGGTATCGGCACCTTTAAGGCACACTTTTTTTCAACGCTAATTTAATAGACACGTTGTCATGGATACCTGCACTTATTTTATACACTTTGTGGTGGGTAACCGGCAGCTGTTTTTTTTTTTCAAAAAAAAGTGGGGGGGGGGGGGGGAGAGTCGTGTGTTTAGAGTTTAGCATCTGAGAATCTTCTTCTTTTTCTCTTCTTCTTCTTCTTCTTCTTCTTCTTCTTCTTCTTCTTCGTCTTCTTGTTCTTGTTCTTCTTCTTCTTCTTGTTCTTGTTCTTGTTCTTCTTCTTCTTCTTCTTCTTCTTCTTCTTCTTCTTCTTCTTCTTCTTCTTCTTCTTCTTCTTCTTCTTCTTCTTCTTCTTCTCTTCCACTTTATACCTCATCGAAGTGTCGGGGGGAGATGTAACATTCGTTGATGAGCTGTGTCAAGAGCACTAATAAGACTGATGTTTATTTCTGTAAGGCTGTTCTTAATGCCATCACCCCATATTTTCCGAGGTCTTCCACTCGCTCTATACCCGTTGTAACGTTTAAGTGTGGCCCGCTGTGGCAGATAGTACCAGGGCATTCTTGTTAGGTGTCCAAACCACTTCATTTGTGGTTCTTTAATGACCTGTAAGACTGGCTTTATTCCTAGCATTCGTCTGATTTCATGAATTCGTAGTATCCGAGAATACACTCGTTAAAAACATGCTAGAGCAAGAAGCAAAAATTGTGCTGAAGTGTAATGCTATTATTGTGGAAGACGTGTTCCTAAAGTGGGCTAGTTTTGCTAGTCCCACTCGCCCTGGCCAGTTCTAGAACAAAACTAAAGTCTAGAAGTGGACGAACAACAAGAAGTTTTCGCAGTAGTTTACAGCTGGCGAACACACGACGACCAAAGAAGGAGTTGAAGAAGAAGGCGGAAGATATAGAGGCCGCACTGATGTGATTTCATCCCCCCCCCCCCCCCCACATCAAAGAAATGTTCGAATTCTACCGATATTATTGTGGGTGTATTTTCTCAGGCCCTTATTTATTATAACTTTTTTTTTAAATAAGCAGGTGTAATTAAAAATGGTAGGGCCTCAGTGCTTTATAGTGTTTAGGGCCTCGTACATTTTTTAATTCTTACACGAGATAAACGGTAGCGGTTACGCTTGACTGTGACGTCACAAGCATGAACTATACGGAGATAAATACGGTGATGGTAGAACGTGATAAAACGGGCCTTCGTTTGAATAATTTGAAGACAGCAGTAAAGATGATATCTAAGAGAAGAATACGGCCTACATGTGTAGTATAAGTCGAAGGCGTTATTTTAGGACTCATCATCATGTAGCAGGTCCTTTGCAGAACGTCGCTCTCATCACAGTCTGCCTGAAAGAAACTCGGTCTCTTGCCAGTTCTCCCGCCTCATGAACTTTCGCACTCAAGGAGTTACTTATATCCTTCGTGTCGGTCGGCCCCTGCCCCTCCTTCCTGGAACCATGCCTTCTGCTATTATGTTTTTTCCAATCTGTCGTGGCGCTTGATATGACCAAAAAATTTCAGCTTCCGGGAATTTCTAGGGGAAACAATCGCTGAGGGTACGACGCACTGGTCGAGGGGAGGGGGAAGGAAGGAGGGGGGGGGGGCGAAAATGTATTATCCGCCCCTGCTAGGCATTAAGCACAGACAACAGTGTTGTCAGGCACAGTAACGTCTGGTCCAACACTTTGTCCCTTCTCTCTCTCTCTCTCTCTCTCTCTCTCTCTCTCTCTCTCTCACACACACTCACTCACACCTACGTACACGCGCACGCACTTTCAAATACTACAAAGACCCACATTTGCATACAACAAACACACTCACAACTCTTTTTAAACCAGACCTTTCAGTGTTTGAAACTGTAATGAATTGAGTTGATTCATTTTTGAGAATGGATCTACTTTTCTGGTGGCTAACGGCTCAACCGTGACCTCCGTCGTTAGAAGATTAATATAATAGCTGGAGGAGGTCGTGGCTCAACGTTGCGCCGTGAATAAGTGGAGATATTTGAATTTGTATGTAAAAGAAAGGCTATGAGGCAGAAATCTCTAAAGGGTTTTAATCACCTGTCTAGTCTCCTGTCCCTTCTCTCCAGTATTTGTCGCGTGAAGCCTTTGATGTTGTTACCGTGCCGGATTGTTGTTTGCCTGCTGTGATTCCCTTGACCTATTTTGTTGTTTGTGTGACCTATTTCCCTGACCTTCACGTCTGCTTGCGTGATAAACAAACTTTCCGTGACCTTTATGTTGTCGTCTGCATGGCGTGATTTCCCAGACCTTGGCGATATTGTTTGTTTGGCGTGATTTCCCAGACCTTGGCGATATTGTTTGCTTGACATGATTTCCCAGACCTTGGCCATGTTGTTTGCTTGGCGTGATTTCCTTGACCTGATCTGCAGATATGTCTTTCCTTGAGGTCCTAACGGAAGGCCTCAACAGACTGTTGCTGGTCAGGGGAACAGGCGGAGAGGTCATCACCGTCTACAACTAACTCTGTTTACTACAAGAGATGTGTGTGTCATGTAGGAAGACTGCTCTCACATCCCAGTTTATCCGAGGTGTTCCGTACGTTTCCATACATGGAGGAAAAAGTCAAATATCACTAACGCTTTTACAAGCATAACTTCGGCTGTGTTTATACGTGTTGCAGTGGAGGACGCGCATCGAAATAAGTTTTCAAAACTGTTATTTTCCTATTAATGGAAACGTGTGGCACACCCTGCAGAAAGAGACAAGGCTAATCGCCGATGACTATTGTTGCTACATTTAGAACATGTTATTTTATAGGACCCGTTTACATGCCTTGAAATGAATTTGGGCAAAAAATGCCAGGTGGAACTGCGGAATACAAACTGAATCAGTTCGGTGATTGAGCTCGTGTCTTGAATAACTGGTATTTAAAGCTATTTGTCCTGTTACAGTTAATAAAAATATTTTTAACTTGTTCCAGTCCTCCACAAATCACAAACAAAATGACTTTTTTTTTCGTTTCCAATTCCAGTTGTTCAACAAAAATTACAAATTTGATCCTGTTTCAACCGCCCCGAGGCCTGCTATATGAAGGAAGGTTCCTTGGCTATCTTATTTGGTTTCCTATTCTTTGTGGTGTGAAGTCACATCTGATATTACCGGGGCAGATGTATGGCACTGCCATTTTTAATGTTGCTTGCAGCGGTAACTTCCGACCATAATGCTACAGTTCATTATCATCATCATCAAGTGCCTTGTAGAATGGCCTGAGTACTCCGGAAATGTTAACATGACCTCATTCATTGAGAAATTATCGAGACGCTGTCGGGTAACGCTGAGAGTTCTCGTCCCTCCAGCTCGCGTTCTGCATTTCGTCTTGGATTCTGTCTGGACAAACAAACTGCCTAGCCTGACCTCGTATCCAGGCACACTCAGATCTTGAGGTTCCACTGTACGTCGATCTAGCTATCAGTATTGTGTGGCTGATGTACATGATCAAACAAATAAATGAATGAAATCAATGATCTATCATTTTTTTTAAAACCCAACGTGAGATTGTCCGACTTAATTGCTACAGCTTCTGCCAATTTTAACAACTGCCTATTCAGTATATGGTAAATCTTCACCACGTGATTGTCTAACAAATGATGAAAACGCTGGGTCATGATAATAACAGGAAATTTATCAACTGAATTGTGACAAAGAAGTTAAACGAAAAGGAAGAAAAGTAACAACAACACGTTTCCGCTGGAGCCGAAGGCAACAGTGGGATGGGGTGGGGGTTGCCACCTAATTACAATAGAAGTCTGAGATTAACCCCCAATGCGGGATCGACCATCTTAATTGCTACAATTTCCGCCAGTTTCAGTATTCGCCTATTTAGTGTGTGGTAAATATTCACCATGTGACTACCATGGATTTTGTCGCATGAATGAGTTTGGTTGATGAATTATCAAACATTTGTAATATGAATGAATATAGTCAGATAAATTATCCTACATAAATTGTTGAATTAATCAATTTAATCAGAATGTTAAATTAGGAATTGACATCAAAGCTCTCAGGACACTCTTAAAAGCGCTCTGTTCACATCATCAGCAGCAAGCAAAAAGTTCCAATTCCGATTCCACCAGTAAGTGTCTGATTGTATATCCATCTCTTCTTTCCCTTGAGTGTCGAGTGTCAGCCAGATCACCTGGTAACTCCTTGCAGCGCCATTCTCCTCAGACCTGAGTGGTCTGTTTTCTTTCACACTGTTCACTCGCTCCCAAATGGCCCTCAAAAGATCTAGCTTGTCATACATCAATTCACCATCAAATAGTGTAGAACCGGCCAGTCTATCTGCCTGCTCATTTCCCAACACATTGGTATAACCTGGAGAAAATACCCAAAGGATGCTAACTATCCAGGACCCCTCAAGTGATGCTTGCCACTCTGCACAGAGCATGCCTGTCTCCACCTTTCTTAACATGTTCTGTGAGACAGTTACAATTACGACATGTGTGTACAGCTGATTCTCAAGCCAGAAGAAGGCAGCAGTGACTGCCTCCACCTCCATTCTCAAACTAGACATTGTCTACATATATGTCAGGTTTTATTGCATTAAGCGAAATCCATTAGCTTTTGCTGTGAACCACCATGCACTTCATCTGCTTCTCAATACAGAGCCGTCTGTATAGATAATCACATCATCTGGGCAGGAATTGTGTTGAATCATTTGTTGAACTTCTAATTCTGTAGCACCAACTGGCCAGTCCCTGCACTCATGACCTAAACGCTACACAGGTCTGATTCTTGCTTGGAAACTTTGACCCACTCCTCCCCTTGCCCAGATTTATCAAGCCTGCACACATGTATCTAATTGTGTCTTCAGCTTGCGCCATCCAAGACCTTCTTCTTTTCAGTCTGCAACCCTTAGCTCTACCTAGGTTAGTGGTTCTCAACCTGTGGATTGCCAAAGACCATCAGAAAACGCAAATTCACTGAAGTTATGAAGTAGTAACAGAAATAATTGTATGGTTTTGGGTTGCCACAACATGAGGAACTGTTTTAAAGGGTCACCGCATTAGAAAAGTTGAGAGCCATAGACCCAGGGCTTCACGCAGGAAGGTTCCTCTTGTCTGCAGCTACTCTGAGATATAACTTTGCTTGCAGAACCTTGAGCCTGTCCGCAGCTACTCTGAGATATGACTGCTTGCAGAACCTTGTGCCTGTCCGCAGCTACTCTGAGATATGACTTTGCTTGCAGAACCTTGTGCCTGTCTGCAATAGTAGGCAGTGCAAGTCTATATCGTATACTACTGGGGTATCTCTTGTACATCCCAGAATTACCCGCATGGCTTCATTCTGTATGCTTTCAAGTTTCACCAGCTGACTCTTTGATATGTAAGCATTCCAAGTCCATAATCAGTTACACGCTGGAACATTTAGTCAGATAAATGAGCTAACACATTTAATCTTTATGGGGGTATTCACATGAATGTTGACAGACACATGATCGATTTGATTTTTAAAAATCAGTATCCTTGCTTCCAAGGGTATTATGCATGTATGCAGTGCTAGATTTAGGGATAAGCAAAATAAACTGGAGCTTAGGGCCTCACAATCTGCAGAGGCAGCAATTTTCTAGTTTTATTAATATTTTTTCGGTAAACCTTCCCAGGCCATTATTTATTCCAAGTTTTATTTTAATATTTTTGGCCTGTTTAAATTGGAAAAAAAAAAAAATGAATTTGCATTTGAAAAACCAGATCTGTGAAATAAAAATAACTCAATAAAGCACAGATCTCCAAAAGATATGTGTATAGAACTCACCAAAGCACGGATCTCCCAAAGATATGTGTAATAGAACTCATCAAAGCACAGATCTCCAAAAGATATGTGTAATATAACTCACCAAAGCACAGATCTCCCAAAGATATGTGTAATAGAACTCATCAGAGCACAGATCTCCCAAAGATATGTGTAATAGAACTCACCAAAGCGCAGGTATCCCAAAGATATGTGTAATAGAACTAACCAAAGCACAGATCTCCCAAAGATATGTGTAATAGAACTCACCAGAGCACAGATCTCCCAAAGATGTGTGTAATAGAACTCACCAAAGCACAGATCTCCCAAAGATATGTGTAATAGAACTCACCAAAGCACAGATCTCCCAAAGATATGTGTAATAGAACTCACCAAAGCACAGATCTCCCAAAGATATGTATAATAAGAGCATGTCTGATATTTATTCTCTTCAAGATATAACTACAGTTTTGTTTTGTTGTTGTTCTGGGTGGTTTTTTATGCACAGGTTTTGAACTGTAATGCCACACTCTTAAATATGTCTGCCAGTTTGGATGAAATTTACATACAATAAACACATTTAAACCTTTCTTTGTTTTATGACAATATTCCAGTTACCAGGTTCAGATATAGAGAAAGAGAGACTAGAGAGAGAGAGACATAGATAGAGATAGTGAAAGAGATAGAGAAAAAGACAAAGAAAGAGAATGAGAGAGATAGGGGAGAGAGATAGGATGAGTGAGAGAGAGAAACTGAGATTTCATATGCTTATCTGATGGAGAAAACAATTTCTAAAAAAGATTATAAGGATGCTGGCTCAATCATTTCTCCAAAACTGAAAAAGTGAACATCACAGTGATTAAGAAAGAACCAGATATTGAGGTGTGCTGGGAACCAAACAGGCAGACAGAACGGCTGGCTCTGCACCACTGGGTGGTGAATTGGTGCATGACAAGCCAGATGTGGTGAAGGCCCTTTGGAAGCAAGTGACCAGCGCAGAAGCACAAACAGATCATCACGGTCTGGAGAGATTAGTGCAGTGGGCCGTGACCAGGGAAAGCAGGTCCACACTCAACACTCAGAGGACATTTGAACAAAGAAGACACAAACAATAAACTACACAATTGATTGCCTTTCATATTTCACTGTATCTCATCAGGTGCATACTACAGTAAAATTGACATTCTTCTTCTTCTTTTTCTTCTCTTCCACCTTGTACATCTGCAAAGTGTCGCGGGGAGGGGGAGTGGGGGGGGGGGGGGGGGTGTAACAATAATTGATGAGGTTTGTCAAAAGCACTATTAGGACTGATGTTCATTTCTGTAAGGCTTGTTCTTAATGCCATTACTCCATATTTTCTGAGGTTTTCCACTCGCTCTACACCTGTTGTAACGTTTTAGTGTGGCTAGCTGTGGTAGATAGTACCAGGGCATTCTTGTTAGGTGTCCAAAGCACTTCACTGACATACTAAAGTAACAATCAATTAGAATAAAGCAAATAAATTAATCCTTTGAACTGAAACACAAAATCTTTGACTCGGACAGGCAAGGCAGACATATATTCAAACTGTTACTGGTATCATGAGAATTAGAACTCTGGACTGGCTGCTGAAGAGAGGGACAGATCACTTAGATCTTAACTCAACTTAGAACAGTAACGGCATAGTTCACGGAAAAGCAGATCAACAAGATGGTGTGCACAGGACAGGATGGGGATACACAGCAGCCCCTA